CGGTGCGCGCAACATCTGTGAGGCCCATATCGGCCAGTGCTGAGAGACCCTGGGTGAGAGGCAGTGTCGAGACGAGGGCCTCGGGTGTCTTGAGGCTACGGCCGAGGACCTCAGTGAAGACGGACTCGACGAAGCGGATGGACGAAGCTTCGAACAGATCATCCGAAAAGATGATGTGACCACTCATGCGCTGAGCCTCCTGGATGAGATGGAATTCAATGTCAAACTTGGACGTGGCTACCGTCACACCGTCGAGCCGTGGGCTGTTGGCATCTCCTGACGAGTGAACTGCAAATATAGTCTGAACGAGCGGGTTACGGGACCGGTTAGCGGCGCCGGGACGCAGCTGCGAGACGATCTTCTGGAAGGTGACATCACGGTTGCTAGAGGCCGCGCTGTTGGTTTGCTGGACGTGCTGGACGAGAGCATGGAACGAGTCCTCTGGCTCGACGGTGGTGCGAACGCATAGGAGGTTGGTGTTGTTGGAGATGAGTGTGCCAATGGTGGCATCGTCGACACCGGTGAGGCGGTAATGCGTCGCCCTGAAAGCGGCGAGGAGCACCATAAAGGGAGTGGCCTGGTGTGTCTGGCAGAAGGCCTGGAGCTCCTGGGAAAGCTGGTCATCGAGGGCGAAGTGGTGGACCTGCGCCTTGCCAGAGGAGATGGCCGGCCGGGGCTTGTCGCAGAGCAGCTCGGCGGGCTGGCTTCCCTCGAGCTGCTCCAGCCAATATGCGAGCTGACGCTGCTCGGTCTCGGCCATTGTGATAGATTGGTCTGTTGCTTTTTGGTGGTGAAAAGAAAACAAAAGCCGGCTCAATGTGTAAAGAATGAGAAGGCCAGGTCGATGGAAGGCCGAGATGATGGGTCTTCAAAACATGTTCATCTCCACAAAGCAGATATCCCGTCTTGTTGTCTTTTATATAGGCGGAATGCTACTGGAGTGTTCTTGGCTACATGTCGCCCGGATCTCCGCTGGGGGGTTGCTACAAGTAGAAACAAAACCGTAACTCATGATCCTCCGGACTGACATTGTCTGCATGTAGTAACGATCTTGAAGAGTGCTAGTCCCGCTGGGAAACGACAAAGTAGGGTGGATAACGGAGGTCCCTGGCAGTCGGCACTAGTAAGATAATAGGCTGTTCAAAGGAAGGAGACGGACATTGCACGTGTTTCTAGTAGGATGGTGGTTGCGTCGATCAATCTCACTAGTGGGGCTACGTAGTCCGTATACTCGTTTGAGAACCGAGTGCGAGGGTAAAAGAGTCCTTGGACGTATGAACGGAAGTTGTGGGGCTGGGAAATGTTACCCAAAATGGACATCTCGGAGTCCGGCAAAAGGAAGAAAATGGTGACGGAAACGGAATAGCGGCGCCACAGGGACCCTTACCGCCAAGGAGATCTCTGGGGCGATAACCGGGTATCCACATCGAATCTATTCCTAATGGGGTATGCTCGATGTTCATTGTTCCACATAGAGATGCCCGAAACCCTCAAGTTGTCATTGAATGCCTCGTTCTTCTTTATGTTTAAGTGCACAGCCCGAACGCATTCTTTTCATCGTACACCTGCTCCACCACGGGAGGCAACTCTTTTATTTTATCCCTGGACGTTTTATTTATTACCCTCGTGGCTGGTGTTCAAATGACTCTTAACTTTCGCCCTATCCTTCATACTTGTTTCATCAGATCATACCGGTTTTCCAGGGCCTTCAATCCCTGCCCCGACATTATAATCTAGATTGCCCATCAATCAGCCATCAGCAAGACATCTGCCCGCTATATTCGCCGCTCCGGCCCCTCTCGATCCAATATGGCGTTTAGCTATCAAGATGGCATCGCGTTGTTGCAGCTCATCGCCTTTGTGCCCTGCCTTTTCCTCGCAATTCTTTTGTGTTACCAGCAAGGAATGAAGGCCGTGGCATCATGTTGGAGATTCCTCATTATCCTCGCCTGTCTCCGAATCGCCGGCGCTATATGCCAGCTCATCACCATCACTGACGACTCGATCGATGTTGTCACCACAAAAATCACATGCGACTTGTTGGGCATCGCTCCCCTAACACTGGCTGCCGTGGGTTTGCTGCAAAGAGTGTAAGTCGCAACCTGATATCCACCTACGCGTGACTCCAGACTGACGTAGGCATATCTTGTTCAGAAACGCCTCGATCAATAAGCTCTCCAAATGGATCTTTATCTTTGTAAGCATCGTCAGCTTGGTCGGGCTAGCCCTTGGTATCGCCGGCGCTATCAAGGCCCTCGACAGCTACACCATCCCCCCCATGCTCCAAGCCGCATTGGGCATGTTCGTCGGCTGCTTGGGTCTCCTGCTGGCCATTCTGGGGTACCTGACCATCTATCGCAACGAGATGCCTCGCAACGAGAAGATCATCCTGTACTCAGTCTACGCCTGTGCGCCACTGCTCATCGTGCGCACCGTCTACGGCTGCTTGGGTGACTACACGACCATCCCGCGGTTCAACCTGTTTGAGCCCAACCCTACCGTCAATCTCTGCATGGGCGTCCTCGAGGAGATTATTCTTATGATTATCTGCCTCGCTGTTGGCTTTTACTGCCCCCCGCCCAAGGAACCTCAACCTGGTAAGCCTTATCGTTATTTAACATGATGGATTGTTTTCGTGACGAATATACGCTGACAATTCTTAGATGCTGCCGATACGACGAATTCGGACGAGACCAACATTGTGGAAAAAGGCTCCTGTCCCCCCAGCGATACCCACTCCAACACCATTGATACTATCAACAAGGAGAAAATTGCTGAGGAGGGACGTATAGGGACCTCGACTGCCGAGGTTTTATAAGATCTGGCTGTCCCTTTATACGTCACAAAGCGCCTATAACCTTACACTGTCTCGGGAGGCCTTTCGTTATAATAATAAACTTTGGGGTTAGCTCCTGCTGTAAGTCCAGAAATTTAATGAATCTCTTTTTCTTTGGTATCTTTTTAGCGTTAAGTACCCGTCTATTTGATATAAGCCTCGACAACTAGAATAGAATACTAGCAATTGCTAAGTACTAAATACCCTTCTAGGAATGTTTTTGTCTTTTCGAATCTCCTAAAATAACAATAACCCTTTGTATACTACTAGTAAATATACCAATGAACCATAGCTTTAGCTTCTCGGTTCTATCGACATTGCTATAGAATAGAACTGATATCCTAGCCTTTTATCTCTTTTTTCCAGGCAGAGATCGGGTGGAAAGGCTTTGGTCTGGAATATACTTCTAATAAAGGGCTGTTTCATCATAATTAAATATATCCCGAGGGCTATATAATTAGACAATCTAGCGTATTAGAACCATAGCTTTAGAAGCAAGCTCTAGGGTACTTCCATCTTTACAAAGATATATATATCAGATATAGAGCTGTTTATCAATAAAGTAGTAGTAGTTACATACTGAAGAGGGGACCCCTGAGGGGCACCGACAGCCCTGCCTGCGAAACAGGTGTGAGAGCAGAGTCGTCACTGGGAGTAGTAGGGTGCTAGAGAGGAGAACACCATGGGGTGACTACTGAGAAGAGAGGTGGAAAGGTGTCTGCGTTGCTATCTAGGCCTCGGGAGTGCTTTTATGTCACATAGCCGCTTAGTCATCCTACTCTGGAAACCCCCACTGCAATACCTGGTATAACGTAATTCCCGGCCGAGCTGCGCACCCACCCAAAACGCGTCCGTAAATTAGTACCTAGTCAATTCAACCACCCACCATGCTACCAATTCGCTCCTAATCCTCTCGAAAAGCAGAAGAAAGAGAGGGTAGGACCTTATTAGCTATCCAGGCTATAAACAACAAAGAAATTAGCGCCATTCGTGAAGCTGCACGCCGTTTCAATATACCCGAATCAACACTCCGAACGCGTCTCCGTAGGATTACCTTTCGCGCTGAAATTCGCGCTAACGAACATTATCATTCTAAGATCACAATGATTCCGATGTAATATGTCTTGAAACCATGGTAGCTGTGCCTTTTCGGAACTAATGTCTTGAGGATAGATTCGTATTTGAGCGCACCGCGCAACCATTCCTAGGTTTCCACGAAGCGTGCTCAAAAAAGTAGAGATCGATTGGGCGATTTCATCTCTTGATGTCAAGCAACAATAAGAATGTTCTAGGTAGTGCAATCAAGGTGATTATTCTATCCCTCTTCTTCGGAAGAGAGCCTTGTTCGCGTAAAGACGAATGCACCTAGCATGTGGATCCTTTGCCTTTTGAGTAGTCCATGAGATCTCATAAAGGAGTCGAGTTCGAGGATGCTCAAGAGCTTATTATTTAGCTACTTAGGTAGACGCTAGAATTCAGTGATAGGCTGGAATCACTATGCTGGCAGTTGAGTCATCTGGATCAATCACCGGGCCCCGCGTTGAGGATTGGCCTGATCGCATAGTTGTTTAAGGACATAAGATGACCTCCCTGGATTGGATATCCTTCTGTTGCCAAGTTCTGCCAAGTTGAAAAAAGGTAAAAGCATCGTTCTTTAACAGTTTCATATATTATTCTAGTCTATGTTGTGGTAGCACGTAAAATACTAAGAAATTGCGTCTTAGCACGTAACCTTGACAAAGCACATCTCTGTCAGCAAAATGATTCAAGTCTTCTCTTGGCTTCAGAGATAGGCTGCGCACTAGCAAGGATCGTGCATCCTTTCCTATGCAAGCTTGCAGGATTTAAAACAGATTGCGTGAGTATTGCGCAACATTACACCGAATAATCGCCATGTCTGTATGCCAAAGACCCCCTGGAGAAACCTATCGGACGTAGACAGGCCTAGTGTCGGGTTTCATAGCTATCTCTGTCCTCAATTGCCGAATATCAGGTGGATTCTCGTACGATCTCTCAGTGACGCGATTATTAGGTACGTTGAGGACATATTTCTCTAGTTTTATAAAATCAGTAGAATCGCCGGAATTGATCCAGTCTAAAAGATCTGGTTCAGTTATCAATCTGTGCACTGGATTCTCCAGCGCCACACAAATCCCAAAGCATAATGGGAACCGCGGGTGATTCTCGACAAGCCACGGCCACCTCGATTTACAGCATAGATGCGGAAAACCAGACCAGCAACACCCAAACAGATGATGTTGGAAAGCCTGCCAGATCATGGAAAAGTTACGTGTGGGATACATGGGAACTTCCACCAGATCAACGCTGGATGCTTTTTAAAGTAGACGCTTTCGTCCTCACGTTCGCGTCTATCGGATATTTTTTGAAGAATATCGACCAATCAAATGTCAACAATGCCTTTCTTAGCGGCATGGAAGAGGATCTTGAGATGTTTGGCAATCAATTAGTAACTAGTATGTGTCTTTGTTCTCACCTGAGACGTTTTTACCCCTTCTTTTCGGACGAGGCCGAGAAGGTTTCCGGCATTTGCTAACAACGACTGTTTACAGGCACATCTATCTGGACTGTGGGATACGTTGTTGGCCAAATTCCGTCCAACTTGTTGTTAACTAGAATCTCGCCTCGATGGGTGATCCCCTCGCTGGAGGTAGGATGGGGACTCGCGACTATTTGTACATCAAGTGTCAAATCGTATAAAGCGTTGTATGCTTTGCGCTTCTTTGTCGGATTCTTTGAGTATGTCGATATTCCGAGATTCTATGCACTCTTTGTGGCCAGTTACTGACGCAGTTATAGATCTGGATTTTACCCCGGCATTCATTACTTACTGGGATCATGGTACACACCACGAGAAATTGGAAAGCGGGCTATGGTCTTCTGGCTCGCCGGTTCAGTTGGCACTTTGTTTAGCGGTTTCCTCCAAGCTGCTGCTTATACAAACTTGAATGGGACACATGGTTACGCCGGATGTATGTGACCGCAATTATCCTTGTTTTCCCTCTCCCGGCTTTTGGATTCGCTCATACCGCTTCATCTAAAACCAAACGAAAGCAAGAAAACAACTGCTGACGGATGAGAATAGGGCGCTGGCTTTTCATTATTGATGGTATCATTACTCTACCGCTTGCTCTCGCTGGGTACATATTCTTCCCTAACCTGCCGCAAAGCGGTAAAAAGACATGGTGGACGACAGAAGAGGAGCATCTTCTGTCAATCAAGAGAATGCAGAATATCGGACGTGCTGGCAAGCAGCCTTGGACTAAGGCAAAGGCGAAAGGAATTCTGCTGAGCTGGCATACTTATCTTCTCCGTGAGTCGTACTTCATACCTTTCTTATCCTTGAACAATACTGACAATGTCCCACAGCATTGATATACATTCTCTGGAACAATGGCATTCCTCAACCTGCTATGGGATACTGGCTGAAAAGTTTTAATGCCCATCCTGCTCCTCTCCCCGGGACAACTTACACTGTCGCACAGATCAATAACTGTGAGTTCGACTTCAGGTTCTAAATTCCAATGAACCTAGCTAATTTCATATACAAGTACCCCTTCCTTACACCGGTGTACTCATTGTCATGGCATTGACTTGGGGTTGGCTGTCCGATGGGCCGTGTCGTGGCGCTCGCTGGCCATTTATCTATATCGGCGCCGTTACTACTGTAAGTCAAAGAGAAATTATATCTGTTAAGTGGATTTTTATTCCGCAGTGGCTAGCAACTAAAACTATTCACAGCTCATTTTCGCCTCCCTGATGATGAAGATGCCCTTTTACACAAACATCAAAGGCCGCATGGCTATTTATTGGCTGAGTAATATTGGTGTAAGTCTACAATTCTCTGAACCCTTCAATCGTTATCCTAACAATGCCTTTAGGGTGGTGCCGGTCCTTTAATCTTGAGTTGGATCAACGAGATCTGCTCCGATGACACAGAAAAGCGAGCGTTGCTTGTTGCCATGGCTAATGACCTTGCCTATGTTGTACAAGCTGTCGTGAGTCCCCTCGTCCCTTTCACTGATTCAAGCTACATACTAACGAGCGTGAACGAAGGCTCCCAATTTCGTGTGGAAAACCACAGCATTTCCTCGTGCTCCCAAAGGATACACTTGGTCGATCGTACTGCAAGTATTGCTCAGTAAGAAGCCCTTGCTCCGTCTGAGTCTTGTTTCCCACTAACAATAATCCCAGTCTTGGTCACCGCAACTGTTCAACTGCTTCTGTGGCGCGATAAGAAAAAAGCAGGAAAGGCAGAAGCAGGTCTTTCAGCCATTGACCCCCTCGAATCATCGTCTATAGAGGGTGATATGTCGGTGGGATCTAGAGACGACAACGGCAAAGTAGCTAGCACTTCTCGGGTCAAACATGTTGGCCTGGATTGATTCAAAAATGTAACTAAATATCTGGTGTGTCACTAATCTCCTTTTAAGTCTGGAAACGAGTCAAAATATAATTCAGATGCGACGTGGTATATATAATAGAAGAGTATATTCCGATGAAGATAACTAAGATAAGAAGGAAGGAAAGAAGAAGTAAGTGCAGAAGTGGGAGAGGGCCTGCTTATATAGCCGGCACTCTGCAAACGCTGCAAATAACAAACAGTAAATATGCAAACAAACATAGCGATCGTAACACCTCCGACCCTTTACCCTTATAGACGGTAGACGATATACAACCCCTACCGATTATGGTCGATAATAAAGTAGAATAGGAAGTAGAGGAAATCATAGCTATATAAACGAAGAGGATTAGGAGGGGATACCGACACAAAGTCCTAGTAAAATAGGCAGGATACGTAGAATAGATATAGGAGAGATTAGAAGACTTAGAGAACTGTACAGCACTTAATACCTTCGAGGAATGTTACAGAGACATTCGAACACATAACAGGCCGCAGGGCGCACTAGGCCATATACGCACCGGCGTTTTCAGCCTTCGAAGGGAAGGAGGGGGGTATTATAACGGGCCAGAGCCCGTACAGGATCACGTAACAAGCACATAACCTTCGCCTACCCCTGTTTTCTCCCGTTTCTTCCCACAAGCTTCACTTCCTTTCCTTAAGCTTTTAGACAACAGCAAACGGCTTAGTTAGCTTGAATCCAATCTAGCTTCGTCCCTTCACAGTAGTTGAAGCACCTATTCCTACCCCCGCCATACCTAGAGAACTAGCTTTAGAACCCCGTACGCGGGCTACACCGAGGTTAGTGGGTGTAGATCAATAGAGCATACATTTAATCGATGCCTAGCTAGATAGATTCATTTTAGTTAATTTAATTTAATGGCGTTTTGGTGGAGAAATATGCATTTAAATTTAATGGGTTGGGTTGGGTGCGCAGCTCGCTTGCCGAATACGTTAAGCGGTTTCTGCCATGCAGAAACTTAGTAATCGCCGCTAATGGAACTATAGATAATTATAGTCGTAGATAGATCTATATATATCAACTCTGTTACGCTCACTAGTTTCACTATAAAGGCTACTTCCTAAAGATTAATATATTTATACTTTAATTTATAGTATTTTATAACCGTCGTACGAATTAGTGAAATGTCAGATTAACCGTATCCGTAAAATATATGGTCCAATGAATGGGTATCAATCAGTCTGTATTTCTGAACTGGCTCAGCTGGCAATTTATAGAGCCTAATTACATAAACTAAAATAAACAATACACATTGTTAGGATTAATAGATCCTCCGGTATCCTCCGGTATGCTAACTTGTATACTCCGACACACCCCCTCAGTAAGCCTAGTATAGACTTGCTAGCCTATACCAGATAGCCTATATCTACCATCCTTAGTATCCTAATGAAGTTGTTATACTTCTAGCAAGGGAGTACCTTAGTTAGTCTATTAGCGACTATATTCGCTATAGTAACCTACTTCATATAAATTTGTCCTTCTCTAACCTCTTATCGAAGCCAATGGCAATAGATATCTATATATCAGAGCTTTATCTTATATACTATATCCTCGCTTTATATTAGGTTAACTATACGCTTATTATTATAGCTAATCGTAAGAGTATAAGATAGTATAAAGCCGATAGTATCTAGTAGTCGTCGCTACTATTAGAGCTACTTTCTAACCTTAGATAGGCTTAGAAGCTTAGCTTTAGTAATCGATATTATTACTATTAGCTACTTAATAGCTTTCTAGTCGACTAGCCCTCTATATACTTAGTAAATATAGCCTACTGAGCTTTTCTAATCTAGGTAATCCCTATAAGAGGTATTACTTATAAATTATATAGAATCTATCTCAGTAGTTATTATATTAGCACTATATTTAATTACTAGGTTATAAGTAGTATAGAGATAAGAAATAACTTAGTTAACTACTTTATAGTACTATAGGCTAGGGTTTATAAGGAATTAGGCTAGCTAGACTATAGCCTTTACTATATCTAGTCTAGTAATAATAGTTATATAGCTAACTAATCCTACCTTCTACTAGTAGAGATAAATTTCTCTAGGTATAGTAATACCTTAGTATAGCTTTAGTTCTTCGACCTATAGTAAAGTATAGATAGTTAGGTAGTTAATTAAATTATAGTAAGTAGTAATACTTACTATATAGCTATCTTAGTATAGCTATAGCTTCTTCTACTATCTATCTTATATAATTTAGATATTAAGAAACTAACTAGCTTCTCTATAATCTATAAGCTCCTAATAGGTTTTAAGATCCTTTTCTAATTAGTATACCCTATCCCTCGCCGATATATAATAGGCAATTAGGATATTATCTATATAGAAGAAGATAATTAGTCCTTTTCTAATAAAAATATATAGATCTTTAGGGACTTACTTAAGCCCTAACTTATATAAGATACTTACTACTTCTTATTACTAAAGTTATAGCGAGATCTATAAACTGTATAATACTTATAATAACTTCTGTTAGAGTGTGGCAGAACTAGGCACAATGCTTTGTAATGCACTCTCGAGGGGTCAAATGCATAGTGTTTAAACAGATAAACAACTAGGCAGTCAAGGATCAGGTCAAAGATGAGATCAAAGTGTATATCATGGGATGAAATAGTCAATTTGTCTAACTAACATTCAGTACAATTTAGGGCTTTCTTTATAGCAATCAAATATCGCGGATAACTCGGTAAATCAAAGATCAGATGATTCATGACTTTTCTTCAGATGAATCATAACTTTCTTCAGATATAACAAAGTAAGTAATCAATGACATCATCAATTATATCATTAAAACAGGAACACATATATTCCAATACACCCCTTCAGATTTTGACCTTAGTTAAAAGCTGCAAACATAGGATAAAATAGGAAGAACAGATCAAATATTATCGAATTCGGTTACCCAATTAGGCAATCGTCTTAAATTCAGCTGATTCAAGAATTCAAGGTATTTTTACGATAAAAGGTATTTTATTAATCTATCGGTAATCATAGTATTTATCGGAATCTATTGGAGATATATATCTCTATTTCTTACCTTTTCTTATAACTAATATTTATTAATATCTATATAACGCAGTTTCGTCTAATATAGCGAATTAGATTTTATTATTAGATTAATTATCTGCTTATTATTATATAATAGTATTAGATTATATTAGGTATCGAATTCAATTAAATTAAGCAGTCTTTTTATCTAAAGAAGGTATTTAGCTGCTTTAGAAAGTATAACTAATTCAGCTTCTATTATTAATATTATAATAACTTACTATTTTCTTACTAACTAATTAATTAGACTATTAAATAGGGTAAAAATAAAGCCTTATAAGCTTTTTCGTCTAATATTATTAGTAAAGCTTATATCTAAAGCTACTTGAAAGATATATTTTAGATTATATAACCTATTAAATTTAATAGAATAATATCTCGTCCTATAAAGGTATAAGATTATTTGCTCTATAGCGATTATATAACTTCTTTCTGGCTTTATTAGCTATTAAGAAAGTATCTAATATATAAACGTAATATTAGGTTAGGTTATAATTATAGTAAAACTAATTAATCCTACTAATAATTAGTAGTACTAGATTAGCTGTAGATAAGCTTTATAATCAGATAATAATATATTAGATAATAATATATTAGGTAATATATAAATAAGATTTTTACTAGGAAGTAGTGTCTTTAGTAACTTCCTATTAGTTAGATAGAATCGGTAGGATATCTTCTTAATATATATATCTTAGTTTAACCAGATTTTTCGTTTTATCTAATTTCTAATCATATATATACTAATAAATTAGGTCAATTCGCTATAGTCTTTTATCTTAAAGCTTTAATATAGATGATTTCTAATAAATTTAGTATATTTTTGGTATTTTATAAGATATATACTAAGAAGATTATTAATAAAGATTATTAATATAACCTTTCTATCTAAGAAAAGGTATAGGTCTTTAGGAATAGAATAAAAGCCTATCTTAATAAGCTTTAATTTAATTGTTTCTTCCTATAAATATAGTAAGATTTATAAGCTATAGAGAGCTTAGTTTAGTTATAAAATATACCCTTATTATTAGTAACCTAGTAGAAACTAGTAGTATAGATAGGGTAAAAGGAAACTATTAAGAAATATATTTACTATATCTATTTAGAAGGTTTCTAGATTAAATACAGCTACTATTACTAGTAATATACGTAGGGTATAGGCTACTAGGGTTATAGCCCTAATATCTTCTTTATCTTTAATAATCTAAAGATTACTATAAATATAAATATAAGCTTTAAACTATATTAAAAAGCCGTTTTTATCTAATTTATATTTAAATACCTATTAGATTAGAAGAATTTGATACCTAGGGCAGGTATTCTGAGATATATCTCTATATTTAGATAAATATAATTATATTATATAATCAGTTTTCTTAGGTATCTAAGTATTTATCTTATTTAGCTTATTATATTTAACTTATATTATATAGTACCATTCAGCTTTATAGGTATAAATTTATACTTCTAACTAGTTATCTGGTTCTTTTAGTAAACTATTAACCGGTATCTTCTTTGGTTAAGAGAGTAATACTATTAAAAATATGTGCAAATAGCTTAGAATTAGATTCATCTGATGTTTCTTATTAGGTGATTCTTTATCATCGTTATTTAGTAAGAATGGTCGTTTTAGAGATATATAATCATCTCTATTAAAGTTAGAATTATTAATAAATACTATCAGACCATTGTTATATGGTTAATTATCAATGCTTTCTAATGGTATAATAGGCTGATCTCTGAGGATTTTATCTAGTTTACTCTTATCTAGTATTACTAGCTAATTGCTAAGGATTTCGTTTAGTTCTATTATTACTTCTACCTTAGGTTATTCGGATACCTTAGTTATTAACTAATCTTCTACTTATTTGTTATATATTTTATCTAGTATATCGATCTCTTTAG